ATTCCTTTCTTCTTTTTTGCTCGCTCTTCACTTTACCGTACATGATGCCCTTTTCCAAGTACTCGTCCCTCCTGGTAACATGTTCAAAATACGTGAGACAAAGTCTTGCCGTTGCTTTCTAAAATGTCATATACTGTGATACAGTGTTAAGTAAAATGCATATAAGATTATATGTATAGTATAATTCTGGTAAAATATTAATTAGCATATGTCAAGAAAATATAAAGACCAGAAGAAACTAGGGTAAAGAAATTGTGAAGTCACATTGTGCACAGAAAGAAGTGCTAACACATGGAGAAACGAGCGACATCAATCAAGAAATCAAAATAGTGACACCATTTTATGCCTATTTGTAGACTCTTATAAACAGTATATATTTTGTTTATGACAGTAAAAGTGCTAGGGATTTGGAAAATACAGAAAAGCAAGAAAACCAATCATAATTTTTCCAACCAATGTTTATTACCTGTACTATTTTGATATATTTCCTTTTACTTTGTGTGTTGTTATGTGCCATTGTCAGTTCCAAATCATAACAACTTTGTATAGTGCCACACCAAAAGTTCTAAATATTAAATATCAGTAATATGAATTGGAAGCAACCTGAATATCTCCTCAGAGGAAACTGTTTAAGTAGCTACATTTATAACACAGTATGTAATGTGCAGTCATAAAAATAATAATGGAGAAAATGTAGCATAAAAAATATATAATCTGTTAAATGAAAAAAAGGCAAATAGGCAATAATAATTCAAATGTTGTGATTGAACTGCTTGTTTATATAATATTTTCATCACTTAAAAATTGCCTGAAATTCTTATTTTTCATGCCTCAATCTTCAGTTTTTCTTTTATGAAAGCCTTTCTTACTGTCCATTTCTCCTAAGACTCTTTCTCATATTCACTAGGACCCATTACAATTTTAGCAACTATTCTGTTTTATAACTCAGCAGAGTCATGATAGTGGTAATTGTATGGAGTTTCCAAGGCTGTAAATCTTTTCAGGAGCAGAAAGCCTTATCTTTCTACCACAGAGTGACTGGTAGAATCCAACTGCTGGGCTTGTGGTTGGCAGTCCAGTTTGTAATCCACACTAGACTACCAGGACCCCTTTCTTAGCAGAGTAGTTAACCTCTTTTCACCTTTTTATCCTTAACCACTTGTCTAGGTGGAGCTTAATAAATATTTATTCTAAGTGTAGAAATTGTACTGTGGTTTTATGATATATACAAAAGAAGAAACAGTTTCTAATTTCTAATAAAAACATAATGAGAAACAATGTAAATGATGACATATAAACCATAAAGACTGAAATCTTCAAGCAGTGTCTTCAAGACATAATTATAAGGTGTTAACAAGAGAAAATGTTTGTTGTATAAGCGCCTATTCTTCCATTCATTTAATAACCAAAACAAACTCTGAGAAAGATTAATATTTCTTTTGGCAGCATAAAGTACTGTAGTGTGATATTGTCAATTACAATATTATTAACTACAAGTTTATAACATTATCAACATATATGTAAACATCTGTAATTCCAAAAATTTTTGTTTTTATAACACATTGCAGAATAACTATTGTTCATTAGCACTTAATTATAATAGTGTATTCAAATATATATGGAGTCCTGGTGTGGCACTTTAGGATAATGTGCTGGGCAAAGTCAGTTTGAACCGCAAAGTCAGGAGTTCAAACCCACCAGTCACTCCTTGGAAACCCTGTACAGAGTCACTGTGTGTCAGAACTGACTATACAGCACTTAACAACAGCAACAATTAGAATAATCTGAAACTCTTGCTACAGTGCCAGTTGTGGATACTCCAAAATGCTTGAATTTCAGTTTTCATGTGAAGAAAGTATTTGGAAGCTATATTCCTGTTGTTGCTAAGTGCTGTCAAGTCGATTCCTACCCATAGCAACCCTATATATACAGGGTTTCCAAGGAGTGGCTGTGATCTTGAACCACAGACCTTACAGTTCAGATGACTTTGCAGTCTGACGCATTAGCCCACAGTGGCACACCAAGACTCCTAGATTACTGTTGTTGTTGTTAGGTGCCAAGGACATTTAATGTAGTAACATGAATTTTTAGTCTTTAATATTAAATATTTAGCAAATGAGTGTTTAATTAGTTTAACTGTTTGTCATCTTTATAATGAGTTTGGTTTTCTTTTCCTTAAATGGAGCCCTTGTTTTCTTTTGAGTTAAGAATAGGTACAAGGGGGCTTTAAAAAGTTCATGGAAATGGAATTTTTCCACAAAGTTTTTTAAATCCCCCTCATATATATATCTTAAGTATATACGTGAAGAACTGAGAAGAAAAACACTTTGCTGTTAAAAATTATGTAATAAAATGGAATCTAACAGTGCTTGGATGCAATTTCATGAAACTAAAAATATGTAATAATTGAGTTCATTATTTTCCCTATTGTATCAAAGTATTTTTAACAAGTCTAAATTAAAGGAAAAAATCTTAAAGCAGGTTTTTTTTTTTTTTTTTCAAATTACATTATTTATTCAATGTATCTATTATAAAAGCAATTATATAATTGGGGCCTATGTTTCATTTCATTTTTCTGATTTTATTTTTGCCAGGTAATCATTTTTCTTGTATAAAAAAAAAAACATTCCCCTCTATTTAAGGTGTTTTTCTTTATGGGAACCACATGATTTTCTAGTTTTACTAGTAAATTTTCTGAAGCACACCATCTGTCATGTTTACTTACTAATTCCTTTAAATTGTTTTTGTTAACTGCTGTCAGTTTGGTTCTGACTCATAGCTACCCTATATAGGGTTTCTGAGGAGCGGCTGATAGGTTTGAATCGCTGACCTTGAGGCTCAAACTGACCTTATAGTCCAGCTTATTATCCTGCAGTGCCACATCAGGGCTCCAAGCCCTTTATGTTAGTGGTTCTATAATCTCTTTGTGTTAAGAAGCTGATTTAAATATTCTCTCCATTAAAAATGTACATATGTTTGCTTTACATAGCATTTAGTAGCTAATGTTTTCCCTGAATCCAGACAGACCCCTGGATTATGAATCTGCTCTAAATTATACGTTTTAAAAATATATATGAGGGATCTTCAAAGTTTGTGGGAAAATGAAATTAACAGATGAAAGTATATAAATTTTATTTTAATAAAATAAGCTTCAAAAAATAATAAGCTTTATCAAGGGCACTTTTATAACTGATGATACCAGCCAGTTCGTACATCCCTAAAAAACTGAGTGTCCAGGGATATTAACCTGCTAATGCAGTCTTTTTTACCTTATGAACTGAAGAAAAAGGTGTCCACTTTAAAGATATTTTTAAGATTGGGAAACAAATCAGAAGGCACTGAGGACTATAAGGTAAAAGCCTATGGATTTCCCTTTGAAACATTACCAAAATTGCCCTTGTTTAATGAAAGGAATGAGTAGGAACATTGTCATAGTAGAAAAGGACTTTCTGGTGAAGCTTTCCTACTAAAATTTTGACTTATTTTCCCAAAACACACTCATAATAGGCAGATGTTATTCTTTGGCCCTCCCAAAAGTCAGCAAGCATCCCAAAAACTATTGTCATGACCTTTGCTCTTGACCTCACTTTTGCTTTGACTGGACCACGTCTACCATTTGGTAGCCTTTTCTATTGTGCTTTATCTTCAGGATCATACTGATAAAGCCTAAAGCTATGTTTCATCTCCTTTTACTGTTTTTTCAAGAAATGCTTCAGGATCTTGATCCTACTTGTTTAAAATTTCCATTGAAAGCTCTTCTCTTGTCTGCAGCTGTTCTGGGCACAACCACTTTGGCACTCATCCAGTGGAAAATTTGCTCAACTTTATTATTATTATTTTGGCAGAATTGTGTAAACTGAACCATTTGGTATGTCTGTGGCTATTATTTCTTCTGTCAGTCATTGTTGTTTGATACCTTCTAGTCAGCTCTGACCAACAGCAAACCTATGCACAACAGAACAAAACATTGCCAGGTCCTGTGCCATCCTCACAGTTATTATTATGCTTGAGCCCATTGCTGCTTCCACGTGTCAATCCATTTCATTGGGGGTCTTCCTCTGTGTTGCTGACTCCACTTTACCTAGCATGTTTTCATCTTTTGGCACTGTATCTAACAATGTTCTACTATTCATAAGGCTTTCAGTGGCTAAACATTTAAAACTAATCCACCGCTCCTTCTTGGTATATGTTAGTCTAGAAGCTCAGCTGAAACCTGTCCACCATGGGTGAGGTGACCCTGTTGGTATTTAAAATACTGGCGGCATAGCTTCCAACATCATAGCAACACAGCAGCCACCACGGTATGACAAACTAACAAATGAGTGGTAGTGTTAATCATTAGTCCTCTTTAATTAGGGCACAAACAAGATTGTTTCCTCACAAATAGATGTGGATGGTCTGCTGCTGTGGACTTCATCTTCCACATTGTCTCATCCCTACATCAAATAAATTATTTATTTGTAACCTGCTGATTAAATTAGTGCATTGCCCCATAAGCTTTTTGTAAAGTCTTTTCGTCTTTCTTCCACCTAAGTTTTACTATTAATTAGATATTCTTGCTCCAATTTTAGCAGAATTCAAAAAGGTGCTCTTTTTAGTTGTCTGATCCTTTGCAGTTCCTCAAAGTAAATTCTGTTCAGACATGTTTTAACAAGTTTACATGAATTCTTTGGGGTGCAAAAAAGTTTTTATATCCATGCATGTTTTTTTCATAATATCACATATCTATGAATTTTTGAAGACACCTTGTATATAGTAAATTCAGTGCACTGCATTCTTTTGGAAGCATCTAAAAGACGACATTTTTTACTCTCCAAAGCTATTTTATAATAATGTAGCAGAACCCTGACTTATTTCTATTGTGTTACTCACATTTAAACCTGAAATAATTTTCCTGGATTGTTTGAAATATTTAATGTATATACTGATTTTTTTTTTCTCATCCTTATTTTTTGATAGTCCTCTTTTGACCAACAACAGGTTTTTTTTTCTTATCCTAGATTCCGAAGAGGCTCAATCTATAAATCCTTCCAGTGTTGATGAAAATATTGACTCTGAAACAGAGAAAGACTCTCTCATCGGTGAAAGCAAACAAATAATTTCCAATAAAGCACCTCTTCCATCTGCCCTTGATGAGTATGAGTTCAAAGATGATGATGATGAAGAAATAGATAAAATGATTGATCATAGGCATATTCTTAGGAAAGAACTACGAAAAGAGAATGAATCTGAAATAGAAAAAAATCATTTATTTACAAAACAGGAAAAAACTTTCTATCCTAAATCATTTAAAAATAAGAAACAAAAGTCATCTAGAGTTTTATATTCAAGTTCTGAAAGTTCAGATGAAGAAGTTCTTCAAATTAAAAAGATTTCTACTCCATGTTCTGGCCCTGAAACATCAAATTCTGACATACAAGCCAAAAAGGAATACATGGCATCAAATGAGCACAAACAGAAAGGCAAAGTTAAAAGAAAATTAAAGAACCAGAACAAAAACAAAGAGAATCAAGAGCTGAAGCAAGAAAAAGATGGGAAAGAAAACACCAGAGTAACAAACTTGACAGTTAATTCTGCATTAGATTGTTCAGAGAAGACCAGAGAGGAAGGGAATTTTAGGAAATCATTTAGCCCAAAAGATGACAGTTCATTGCATTTATTTCATATTTCCACTGGTAAATCTCCTAAACATTCTTGTGGACTAAGTGAAAAGCAGTCAACACCACAAAAACAAGATCATACTAAAATATGTTTATCGCCAGGAAGTTCTGAAATGTCATTACAGTCTGACCTTGTTCGCTATGACAATACAGACTCTGAATTCTTGCCAGAAAGCTCAAGTGTAAAATCATGTAAGCATAAGGAAAAGAGCAAAAATCAGAAAGATTTCCACTTAGAATTTGGTGAAAAGTCAAGCACCAAAATAAAGGAAGAAGATCAAAGTCCAACATTTGATCATTCAGACTGCACACTGAAAAAGATGGATAAAGAAGGTAAAACATTTAAAAAGCACAAACTGAAACATAAAGAAAGAGAAAAAGAAAAGCATAGAAAAGAAACAGATGGTGAAAAGGAAAAATACAGAAATAAGGATGGTGCTAAAGAGCTGCAGAGGAATGTGGAATTTGATAGAGAATTTTGGAAAGAAAATTTTTTTAAAAGTGATGAAACTGAGGATCTGTTTTTAAATATGGAACATGAGAACCTAACCTTAGAAAAAAAATTAAAGTTGGAGAAAACCATAAAAGATGATAGATCAGCCAAAGAAAAGCAGATCTCAAAAGAAAAGATTTTTAAAGAAGAACGGGAAAAGATTAAAAAAGAGAGTGAGAAATCTTTTAGGGAAGAAAAAATAAAAGATTTAAAAGAAGAAAGAGAGAATATAGCCACAGAAAAAGAAACAGAATCAAGTACTTTGGATATAAGTGCCAAAGAGGAACTTATGGGATTATGTTCAGTAGAAAAGGAAATAGATATTGAAAAACAAGAAAAGTATATAAAGGAAAGTAAGGAAAAATCTGAGAAACGATTTCAAACTAAAGAAAAGGACACTGAGAAGACAGATAGAAAAAATTCTGAAAAAGAGAAGAAAATAAAACATGATCATAAGTCAGAGAAAGAGAAATTAGATCTTAGTGAATGTGCAGATAGAATAAAAGACAAGGACAAACTATATTCACATCACACAGAAAAATGTTATAAAGAAGGTGAGAAGATAAAAAATATTACTACCATTAAAAAAACTGATGACAGAAAGAAAAGTAGAGAAAAGCTGGATAGAAAACATGAGAAAGAAAAACCTTTTGAAAAAGAGAGGCACCCAGTGGAAAGCAAAGAAAAGTACTTGATTGAGAAAAAAAATAGACAGTCAGATATTAATGAATACATTAAATCAGAAAAAGGTAAAAATAAAGAAAAAGACAAGGAGACAGATAAGAGGGAAAAATCTAGAGATAAAGAAAGTATAAATATAAGTAACTATAAACATTTACAGGAAGATAAAAGGTCAGGTATAGCAGACAGTAGTAAAGCACAACATGAAAAATCCATATCCCTTAAAGAAAAAACAAAAGATGACCCTCTGAAGACTCCAGATGGAAAAGAAAAAGATAAAAAAGATATAGACAGATACAAAGAAAGAGACAAACATAAGGATAAAATTCAAATGAATAGTTTACTCAAACTAAAATCTGAAATAGATAAGTCTAAACCGAAGTCATTAGTGCCATCAAAAGATTCTAGACCTAAAGAAAAGAGATTAGTCAATGATGATTTAATGCAAACAAGCTTTGAACGAATGTTAAGCCTTAAAGACCTAGAAATAGAACAGTGGCACAAGAAACATAAGGAAAAAATTAAGCAAAAAGAAAAGGAACGGTTGAGAAATCGTAATTGTTTAGAACTTAAAGTAAAAGATAAAGAAAAAACAAAGCATGCACTAGCTGAATCCAAAAATAAAGAATTAACTAGGTCAAAGAGTTCAGAGCTAACTGATACTTATACTAAGGAGAAACAATCTAAAGATACTGTAAGTAACAGATCACAGTCTCTCGACACCAAAAATACAGGGAAATCAACTTCTGTTTCAGACACTAGCTTAAATCGGTCTCCTAGATCAGAAAGTGAAAAACCAGGTCTCAGCTCCAGATCTGTATCCATGATTTCAGTTGCTAGCTCAGAAGATTCCTGCCACACTACAGTGACGACCCCAAGGCCTCCAGTTGAGTATGACTCTGACTTTATGGTAGAGGGTTCAGATTCCCAAATGTCCTTTTCCCAGTCACCATTTTTGTCAATTGCCAAATCTCCTGCCCTTCATGAAAGAGAATTGGATAACCTGGCTGAACTGTCGGAGCGGATTAAACCAACATATGCAAACAGACTTCCAACATCCCATCTCAGGTCATCTTCTATAGAAGATACTAAACTAATTATACATGAGGGTAGACCTACTGTAGAAGTTCGAAGATGTAGCATCCCATCTGTCATTTATGAACATGCAAAGCAATTCCAAACAATATCAGAAGAAAGTAATCAAGGTACTTTACTATCTATGCCAAAAGACATTTGCCCTTCTCCCAAACCTGAGGTATCTTCAAATGTGCCTGAAAGAGATCTTTCAAGTGTGTCCAATATACATTCCAGTTTTGCAATTTCTCCAACTAGAACTTTAAACAGCAAATATAGTTCAGCTGATACAAATGTTATCAAAACTACTACCCCAATATGCAATTTAATAGAAAACCCTGTGCATTTAGAGCCACCTAACCAGGTTGGTGTAATCCAAAATAAATCATGGGAGATACCTGTTGACAGACTAGAGTCGTTAAACACCAATGACTTTATGTACTCAAATTCTAGTACACTTGTTCAAGATTCCTCTAGTCAGGATTTCTGTCCTTCTGAAAACAAAATATTGAAAGAAGAGAATTCTGGTTTTGCATCTCTGCTCCAGATTGAACTGCCAGGAAATTCTTGTGTTCAGGATCCAGCATCCTTTATGCCTTCACAACCACCTTGCTCTTTCCACAGCCAGTCACTTTCAGATACTGAACCGACTTCTAAACATACATCTTTGTCATATGCTGCCAATCAAGAACCAGGTGTTTTACAATTGAAAAATTCAGTTCAAATTATCAGTTCTGTTTTAGATACTGATAATGAATCTATAAAAGATATGGAAAATACTTTTGTCCCAGCAGATGTCCCAAAGATGGATGCGTTTGTCTCAGTGTATTCTGAAAACACCATTCCAGAAGCATCACTAACCTTTGAGAAAGGTAATACTTTGCCTGTGTTACCAGAAAAGGACTACAATGAAAATGATGAGTCTTCCCAGCTAAATGTACATTATTCATTTAGCAAACTGATAAAGTCTTCCAGAAGCCTTGAGGTTGAACATAGCACAACTGATATTCAGGATATTTCACATGACAAAGGAAATAAGCTAGAGAGTTTCATTTTAACTAATTTGAATGATAAGAGTGGTTCTGATTTATGTGAAATGAATGCCTCTGCATTTGGTATCTCTATGCCAAAAGAAAACCTAAATGAACAAGATATTCCAAAGCATTGTCCTGAAAGTGAAAAGTGTTTATTTTCTATTGAAGATGAGGAATCTGAACAAAGCATTTTAACAAACCTAGAAAACCATTCACAACAATCAATTCCGGCAGAAATCCATAAATATAGTCAATTTGTTAAAATAGAAATAGAAGAAAACACTGAAGATGATAAAACTGAAAATCAGATTCCTCAAAGGGTAACTAGAAACAAAACAACTACAATGACAAGTCAAAGCAAACAGTTTCTTGCTGGCTGTACACTGTTGTCAGAAAAAGACAATGAATCTTCATCTCCTAGAGGAAGAATAAGATTAACTGAAGAAGATGATCCTCAAGTTCATCATCCACGGAAAAGGAAAGTGTCTCGTGTTCCTCAACCTGTCCAAGTGAATCCCTGTTTACTACAAGCTAAAGAGAAAACTCAGCAATCTCTGGCAGCCATCGTAGATTCTTTGAAACTAGATGAGATTCAGCCATACAGTTCAGAGAGAGCAAATCCATATTTTGAATACTTGCACATAAGGAAAAAAATTGAAGAAAGGCGTAAATTATTGTGCAGTGTTATTCCTCAAGCACCTCAGTATTATGATGAATATGTGACATTTAATGGATCTTATCTCCTGGATGGCAATCCCTTAAGCAAGATTTGTATTCCCACAGTAAGTAACATCATTTTATATAGTCTAGAGTTCTGTGCAGTAGAAATATGAAGTATAGCTTTAAATTTCCTAGTAGCTATATCATTTTTTAAGTAAAGAAAATGAAATTAATTTTTAAAATATGTTTTTATTATCTGAGTGTATCTATTTCAACATATAATCATAACAGAAAAATTATTAGGGTATTTTACATTCCTTTTTTGTTTTAAATTCCTCACAATTTGAATTGCTTATATTATGGTGGTGGTGGTGGCATCTCAATTAAGACTAGCCAATTTCAAGTGCTCAGTAAGTACCCCTGTGGCTACCTTATTGTGGCTGCCTTATTGGACAGTTCACATCTACAGTATTTTCTTTTCCATACTGCTTTCAAGGAGTTGTGTTTTTATTTAGAGGAATGCTAATGACTTTACTTGTGCTTGTGAGCCTTTTCCAATTCACTCTTGACTGAAACCTTTCTCAAAACACTGTTCTTGCTAGTGCTCAGAACATATTCAGGTCTTCTCCATCCTGGATAATATTCCTTGACTATGCTCTGGTAGTGTAGTGGTTACGAATCGGGCTGCTAACCTCAAGGTCAGCAGTTCGAAACTACCAGCTGTTCCACGAGAGAAAGATGAGGCTTTCTACTCCTGTAAAGAGATGGATCAGCCAGGTGGCATCATTGATGGCATCAAGTATGGCAGCGGTAGTGAGGTTGGCCCAGGATCGGACATTGTTTTGTTCTGCTGTGCATGGGGTCACTATGAGTCGGTTCCGACTCGATGGCACCTGACAACAACAGCAACAACAAAGATTCACAGCCTTAGAAACCCTGTACAGGGTTGCTATGAGTCGGACCCGACTCCACGGCACATAACAACAGCATTCTAGTCTAATGGAGTCCTGGTGTGGCACTGTGGGTTAATGCGCCAGATTGCAAAGGCGTGTAACTGCAAAGTTGGAGGTTCAAGCTCACCAGCTGCTCCTTGGAAACCCTATACAGGGCTGCTATGGGTCGGAATCGACTTGATGGCACTTAACAACAACAACATGCCTGTCTGTCAAGCTAACACCCTATATCTTCTTCACCGTTTGACACTTCAACAGTAGTCTGCAACTGATATTTTCTTTTTCTAATGTCCTGTTTGTTCCATAATCATTATGGTGCTTATGCATTGATGTCTTTCATTTTTCTTTCTACTTGATCTCTCACATATAACATTGTAGCCACTTTGTTCTTAAAAATTTCTTCTTGTTTGTCATGTTGGTGCTCTCTTTCAGTTCGCACCTCACAAACTATTCTTTTTCTGCCTCTTTTGAACTGTCACTGCTGAACCCCGTTAATCAAATATAAGTACCTACTAGACATCTGTCCTTCTGGCACCTTGTTATGGGTTCAGTTCATCAGGAAGTACACTCCAAGGTTTGTGTGCAAAAGGTTTGTTGGTGAGAATTAATCAGAAACAAAACCAATAATTGTGTGAGGGGAGCAGAATTGGGCAAAGCAAGATACTGAACTGACCTCAGTTGAATCCATAGATTTCTGGATTGGGTTGGTCCTTCAGATAGGTAGGCTATCCTCAAAGAGCAAGCATGATTTTGGAAAGCCAGCTCTCTTCCCTTGAAGGTAACTCTTGGAGAGGGACTGCAGCCAGAGCTGTCAGCAACCAAAAACTCCCACCAGTTGGGGCAGTAGCTTAGAGATGGAGAGCCTCATTCCTAAATAGGATGTCTGATCGTGCACCACAGCATCCACTACACAACCCAAACTTAGTATGTACCAAAGAAAATCATTTACTCCCTCATTATTATCTCTCACTTAGATCACCACAGGATTTTTTTTTTTTCTTTTTCTAGTCTGTTTTGGTTGGAGTGTTCTACTTTGTTAAATTTTTATATCCGTGGTGTGGCTCTGCAGGATAAGAATTGGACTGCTAACCGGAAAGTTGGTGCTTCAAACCCACCATCTGCTCCTTGGAAACTTATTTAGGGTCACTGTGAGTCTTAACAACAACTACATAAGTAATAAAAAGCCATTTCCCTGTTTAAAGACCTTATATATCTTTCCCATTACCAGAGCTTAAAAGTTCAAGCCTTAAGTGGGACATAAATATAGTTCACAATTTGATCTCTATCTACCTCCCTCTCTAACTTCATTTCTGACTACATTTTCTAAACTCACCCAATATTTTAGCCAAACTGGGCTTACTCTTGTTCACTACATATAGTCATTCTAAGTGCTACTCTCTTCCCTTTTTCTGAAATGTTCTTCTTTCTAAGTCCCCCTGTCTGTCCTTTTACAAGCCTTATAGTTCCTGCTGTAGTGTTAACTTGGTGAAATCTGCTCAAATCAAGAGTTGACTATGCCTTCCTCTTACTTTCACTAACTATCATAATTGTTGTTGTTGTTAAGTGCCATTTATTTAGCGGTATATAATTTCTCAGTCTGGGATTCCAAGATTCAATCCTGATCTTTTCTTCTCACTTCAAGTCAGTCACTAAGTCATATTGATAATAGCAAATATCTCATCATACCCCCTTTTCCTTATTACTACTACCATGTAAGGATCTCATTAACTACTTGGACTAGCACACAAATATGTGAATACATCAAGGGTAAATAGGAAAGTATTGCTACTAGGGTTCCAACTCATATATGCACCAGTTTATTCCAAACAAAACATGTTTCTGAGCTCAGTGGATGATAGCAGACAAGTTCTCTCACTTGTCTTAGTCTCATTAGGGTACATTCAAACCAAAGGATACTTTCTGTGCCATGGAAAACAGTTATTTTGAGGTCAGTGCTGATACCAAATTTTTAACTAAACTCAAGTAGACATCTTGCATAATCATTGAAGCTTTCCAAGGAATGCTGCCCCACTACATAACAATTTTTAGATAGATCAAGAGTTTTAAGGAAGATCAGGAAGACCTCAAGGTGATCCAAGAGAGGAAAGACTGTTCATCCAGACAGTGGCTGAAATCTAGAAGCTGGTGGGAGAAAACTATGTAATTACCATTGATGCAAGAGCTACAGAAGTTGGGATCTCACAGTGGTCAGCATTTTCAATTTTAAACAAACATCTTGGCCTCAGCAAATTTGGCTAATTGGATACCAGAAGTGTTGTGGGAAGATTAGCACAAAGAGTTGGTCTTTCCATCATCAGTCCTTTAAGCAAGATCGAAGCTAATGAAGACAATTTATAGTAACAAATTGTAACCGGGAATTTACCAATACAATCCAAAGAGCAGGATCCAGTATAAACAGTGGCTTCCAAGGGGATATGCTGAGCCAGTTAAATTCACGGCAAAGAGATCAGCTCAGCAGAGGTAATCTTGATAGGTTTTCTTATAGAACACAGGATGAGCACAATGGCCTATTATATAAAGAAATGTTAAGAAAACTTAAAACTACAATCATGAAAAAATGGCAAAGTTGCACTATAGAATTTTTTCACATCATGCTATGCATCCCTGGGGAACATGGTGGCTCAGTAGGATAAGCACTGAACTGCAAACCACAAGGTCAGCAGTTCAAGCCCACCAACCGCAGTCAGGAGAAAAATGAGACTTTGCTTCCGCAAAATTTTACACCCTCAGAAACTAGGTTGCTATGAGTTGGAACAGACTTGCTAGCATGTAACAATAATAGCATTCATCTTTAATGGTAGTAAGGACTGTCCTACAAAAGTTTCATTGGGAAACCTTATCTTATCCCCCCTAGAGCCTGATCTTGCCTATTCAGACTTTGTTGCTGGCATACCCAAAACTAAATATTTAAAAGAAGGATGCCAAAACTGCATTTTGACGTAGTGTTCCATTGACTAGAAGAGTTCTTCAGGGAAAGGTTAAAGAGACAAACACCACCTTACGAAGTATATAGACCTAGAGAGAAGACACGTCAAGAAACAGTAGCATCACATTGTGATATTTTCTTTTAATAAATGTTTCTATGATTTTGTAACAATATTTTCTGGTTTACCCTCAGATTCTAGGGGCTTGAAAAAGTTCGTGGAAAAATAATGGAGTTTTCAATGAACTATTTGAAGCCCCCTCATATATATGTGTGTATATTATGTACGCACATACATGTTATGTGTGTGTCTGTGCACTATCACTGCCCCTGACCTTTTTTTGGCTGATGATATGGAGCTTTTCTACCATCTCTTTCTACAGATGTAGTCAATTTGATTTCTGTGTATTCTGTCTGGTGAGGTCCATGTGTGTAATCATTTCTTACGCTGTCTAAAGAAGGTATTTGAAATGAACAGATCATTGGTTTTGCAGAAATCTGCCCTGCGATCTCTAGCATCATGTCTATCACCAAGGCCATATTTTCCAACTACTGATCCTTCCTCTTTGTTCCCAACCTTTGCATTCCAGTCACCAGTAATGATCAATACATCTTTTTTTTGTTTTAAGGTTTTTATTGTGGAATGAGTGAAAGTTTACAGGGCACATCATCAGTTTTACATTCAACAAATCATACACCGTGTTTCATTACAATGATTATAATCACCTCCATGTACCATCAGTTAACAGTATTTCTCTCTATTTACTTTAGCTCTGTTTTGTTTGTTTTTTTTAAACACTCAGGCATATATAATAATTTACACCACGAAAGGACACATTCTGCAAGTTTGGCTCCTGGCTACCATCTCTTAGTCCCTCTCTTCCTATGAATCTGGAGTCCTTAGCTGCTCCCTCTCTCCATGTCCCCATCTCTGCCTCCATCTCTGGTGTCACTGCTTCTCTGGATAAGGTCTCGTATTCCGCTTGTGCTCTTCTTCTCCCTTGATGATCTTAGGGTCCTTTGTTTCTGGACTTTAAGATTAACTACTCCCCTGTTTTGGTTACAAAACTTCTACCTTTACAATTGTGACAGTTGCAATTAGGGATAATAACAGTTACACACTATTGAATCATATGACTCTTATCCCCATCTTTTTTAACCAGACCTATCTAGACAAGATGAAAACTATTCAGTGGAGACTGATCAATACATCTTGATTGCTTGT